TAAGCATTTAAGGATCTCCTTAGTCTCAAACTCTATCCACTATGCACATGCTCACAGGCCCTTAGTCTCGCAAGACCTGAAACACATCGCATCGCTTCCTCAAAAAGGGGGATTAAGCGAGGATTTCTCTACCTTATTTAGGCCTTTCAACCGAATTCACAGGAGCTTTTCATATGCTTTCGAAGAAGAAAGTGAGGGAAGTTATGGTAAGCCCACCGATTGGATGCCTTATGCAGGCGTTTCTGGCTAGTGATTTCCAAAGTGTCTGGCTTTGGTCACGGTTGGTTGCTCTTGCCTCGTGCTGATATATTATTACTGTACTCGCATGCATCGTAAGCTTTTTGAATGATGCAACCCAATATTCAACTAATCCATGGTAGTTTCTTCATTCTGCCCTCCAGGATTAAACAAGAGGCGAAGTGAGGCTTAGATATCAAATGCTAGATGCGACTGGACGGCACATCCCCCAAATCAGCGTATTCGCGATGTCCTATAAATTATTCTTTGCGTATTCGTTATTCGCAACGAAATACTCCTCGGCACGGCATACCAAACAGGAAACAAGTAAACATTTGACCAATGTATTTTTCCGAAGTGACGTGGTCAAGGAATAATAGTTCAGATGAAACCCACCCCAACGCACAATTTCGCAGCTGAGAATTGAGTGATAGGCGATGTATGATCGCTGTCAAGATCATGGCATCATCTGAACATCATACGGGTTGGTAAAACAGGTGCGCTGTCAAGTCCCTGCTTGCGAGGATCGAATGGAAAGGTAACATGATGTCAAGGGTTAATATCCCCTATCATTGATATGCATTCTATGGTCTATATATTACACAGTCTTCTTTCATATGCAGGTATCATTCATAACAGCATACCAAAGTTAGTAGACGGCTAAAACAACAAGTTTTAATATATTTTCAGCCATTAACGATTTCCTTAACTTTAGACATGAAGTTCCTTCTCCTCCTACCACTCGCCCTACCCATCCTCTCCAACCCGATACCCGACATCCAAGTCACCTCCTCAGACAACACAACAACCCAGTCCAGTGGAACCACAACTCTCACCACAACAACCACAAACCTAACCTCAATACAATCACAATCTCTCTCAGCCAGTACCACCTCAGGAATTAACAGCCTCCTCGCAGCAGTTGGCAAACTTCCCCTCGTAGGCCTAACAGTCAATGCTCTCTCTGGCGTCATTACGGCCGCACAAGCAACACTAGCAAAAACTCTTCGAATAGATACTACCGAAGCTAGTACTGTAAATAGCTGCGCGGCAATGACTGTGGTATTTGCGAGAGGAACGACAGAGCCGGGGAATGTGGGGTTACTGGCTGGACCGGAATTCTTTGATGCATTGACGGATATGCTGGGTGCTAAGAATGTGGATGTCGTAGGCGTAGAATATGGTGCTACGATTGAGGGGTTCTTGCAGGGCGGTGATAAGCAAGGCTCAGCACTTATGTTCGTCCGTCATTACTATCCTTCAGTTCTCAAATTTGCTGATCCGTCATCCAGGGCCTCCCTCGTCTCCTCAACCCTCAAATCCTGCCCCAACACTAAACTAGTAATGTCGGGCTACTCCCAAGGAGGCCAACTCGTACATAACGCTGCAGCGCTCCTCCCTTCCTCAACCATGGCACAAGTTTCCTCCGTTGTCATCTTCGGTGACCCATTAAATGGGAAACCAGTTGTGGGTGCCAGTGCTGGAAAGACGTTGATTGTTTGTCATAAGGGGGATAATATATGTGATGGGGGAGATTTGATTCTTTTGGAGCATTTGACATATAGTCAGAATGCACAGCAGGCGGCTACTTTTGCAGCAGCTAGGGCGGGGATGGGGTTGGGTAATTAAGGATTGGACTTGGTTTTGTAATTTGAGCGAGCAGGGTATTTGCTTGTTTGGATTGGGAATCGGCGCTGTTGATCGAGCGAAGAATTTGATATATCGAGGGATGGGGACCAAGAGCCATGAGTTGGAAGTTATATGATGGGATTGTAGCATTAATACTTGAAATGAATAGTGAATAAGTGTAGTGGAGAGCAAGCCATAGCGATAAGGGTAAGAAATATTAGACGGGGTAGGCTTTCAATAGAGCTCCGGGTGGTGAGAGAAGTGGCTAGGACAACAATCATTTGCCTGAGTAGAGAACAGAAACAGAAGAAAATGACCGTACGTCTCTATCTACAGGTGAAATAGCACAAAAACAATGAACAAACTTCCAAATCACAACAAAAATTTTCAAGCTTTGGTTTCCACCACAGCTTTGCCCCTTTGCCTTCCCAAAGACCTCATTTGTTATACGATACCTCGGCAACTTCAAGTGGAATTTGATATAGAAACGTGGCTAGGCGCATAAAACAGTTTTGTGTTCTCTAAGTATTCGACTAAAGAAGGGTTTGACTCTGTTTTCTTGCCAGATCTTAGATTCGGATTTATATAAGAGGAAATGTGGCAGGAACTTTTAGGAGTAAGGAAGGGAGAGAAATGACACACACGCTACTTTATACGGCACATCTACGGAGGTAACAATAGGTGAATCTAGAATGAATACTAAGGAGTAACGACGATTCCCTTTTTGACTGTATAAGCGAAAGGACCCAAAATAATCCATAGGGAGGGACAAAGCCACTCAAGTCTCGGACTTAGCGCGCTCATTATAGAAGTTGTAATTTCGTAAACAAATAGACTGTTAAGAAATAATAGCAGATCCCAAATTGATATTGCAACCTGAGAAATAGCAACAAGTTTAGTTATAACAATTAAGAGCCTACCTTTCTTACCGTAGCTCTCGTCTTGTTAAAGGTGCTATGGCAATCCTCAGCTAAGAATTTGTAAACATGATTAGAATATTAAGGCCGAAGTCACCTCCATCATTGACTTTCAGCATCCTCAAACACCTTCGCTGTCAATACTTTGGTAAATAGAAACGGTTCATGATGTAACTTTAAATTTCTACTTAGTGAGGCCACTCTTCTTCGTTGGTATTGATTATACAACCTTTTTGGCTGGTTCTCCAGCCGCTTTGAACTCAAAAGTCTGTAGGTTTGGTGTAATTGTATCTGTAACCTAACAGTGCAGGTCTTGCACTTCTAAGATTCCAATATTATAACCGCGGGAAGACTCGACCAGTGTTGGTCATACCAATAAATATACTATTCAGCATTATTATGAGCGGTTTGTGGCTATTCAGTGGTGAATCTCCTGTTGGCACCAAGAAGAGTGTTTGATCGATTTAAGGTCCATGGCTTTGCAGGAAGTGTTGCATCCAAGTATTGAAGGGAAGGTAGGTTTTTTGGTTTCTTGGAATTGGACATCAATTTCGAATCCGTGGGCAATACAGCCGCTAGAGGTGGCCAGTTTTCGAGCTCATCGCTTCCATTTCTCGTGTCCCTTATGTCAGAGTTGAAAGCCTCACCGTGAGAGCGATACCTTCCAGCAGAGCGTCCACTTCAGCAAACTGCTACTCTCCCACATTATGCCAAACTCATCGATATTCCAGAGCAACATAGAGGCCGTTGCACAAAGCTCAGTGTATTGTTGTCTAAAGTGATATGGGCCTAGCCTCCAAGTAAACCTCTTAGCTAGACTACTACGCTCCAGAGCGAAGACTTATTCGAAAAGGGGGGCTCGCGACCGTACATCTTAGGAAGAGGAGCTGTTTTCCAGGCCACTGTCAGTCATCTAAATTCCTTTAAGTTAGAGAGGAGTGATGAATGACCCACCTGCTCTACAATTCTACTTGAAGCAACATCCAAAGCCCTGCAGCCTCGCAGCCGCGCGCTTGCACTGTCTCAAAACATGCGGCTAACTCCCCCAAAAGCCACAGTCCTAAATCAATCACAGCCTCAGAAGTGCGGTGTGCAACAAAAGTAATCGAAACCGCTGCCGTTGATCAGCGCTGTGGCGGGAAAGCGTACTGTTGTTTTGGGGGCCAAAGCTGCGTCATTTCGATTGTTGCGCGTGTCACCATCAGCTGGACCGAGCGAAGCCGTTCGGGGATTCTAGCAGAGCACTGCAAAGTCATGGGAAGATACTAGGAATTGAAAAAAAAAGAAGTGGGATGTTGAGGATGTATGGGCGAGTCAAAGCGACTTGGAGATAGATCAGATAAGAGCCAGAATGGGTACAAATGTGAGTGTAAATAATTGGGCACGGACCAGGTAGTATCAAAATATATTCTTGGCATTTCAAGTGTCCACCTCGCGTCATCCAAAATACCTAGCCTTTCCGTTGCTACCCACTTTCTTTCATAATTCTTGACGGTGGACATTCTAGCGATAATGCTACATAACACATTCACACTCAAGGGATGGCTCAATTACCATAGGATAATTTCTCAATTGACGAAATTGTCCAAAGCACTTTTGCCTATTTGTGCATAACCTTCATTTTATCTCTATCCTCGACAAGTAATCGATAATATGTTGTGTAACTTGTCTGAGATCTGTAGCAGAAACCCCTACTTCGATGAGGTAGCCTGGCAACCCTGTCAGTAGAGTTTGGGAGAGGTTCGCTTATTTTCAACATACACTCTAAGAATACTTCGAAGTAACATCTATCATTCTGGAATCTCGCAATAACATAGAATTTCTTAGGTTTGTGCAGTAGAAATATTTTATGAATGATTTCTCGATCATTTGCAGCTAATTATCAAACTTCATACTCCACACATTGTGAATTTTCACAACAAGATGCTGCAATGAAGGAAAGTTGCATAAAGGTCGTTGCTGTTCATAAGGGCTCAAACGTGTTCACCACAATTTGCACAAATCATTACTGCCTTACATATGAGGCTTAGTACCGAAGGCGTTCGTCTATTCCAGGCTGACAAAAGATCGAGCCACAACGAACCCTGAATTTCGCAGAAGTGTTACTAAGTGAATGTAGAACCTCCAGTTTCTCTGCCCAAAAAAAATTTTAAATGAACTCCAACGTGATATACCCTAAAAAATTTCCAACAAAAATCCAAAAAATTCTCGAATCAACTCCCCGGGAAAGGCTTGAACTTTCAACCTCTCGATTGCGAATGTGTTTGCTCACATATAACAGTCGAACGCGCTAGCCAATTGCGCCACCGGGGATGCTTGGCTTTTAATCGCTTGTTGAAAGCAACGCTGCTTATTTAGATTTATGAAGGTTAATGAAAATATTGTGAGTAAAAAATAAGTAGCCGAAGTTTTGGCATTAGCGCACCGTGTAGAGCGGGAAATAGATGTTCCGGCATAGCATCCAAATTTGCTTGTTGCTTCAGTTATTGCGCAATTTATTCAACAAGCTTTTTGCAAGGTGGGGAGGTTAGTAGTACCACACCCACAGCATATATGCACATACTTTCATGTATTTTAGAGGGACACAGGAACTATGCAACATCCCAAGAAGTTTACTATTGTCTGATCTTTTCCTGTTTAGATTTGGGTTTGCCATTGTCGAGTTGTGCTCTATCGACATCAGATCGCATCCACGATTCTAGAATATCAATTTTTATTGAGCTTATAACCCTTCAAATTGCTTATCTAAAATCCAACTTGTTTCAAGTCTGTTTTTATGTCTCGTTGGGGGTTAATAACTGGTAATCAGAATTCACTCTAACACGACTTGATAAGTGGACGAGCTGATAATCCCAACCACGAATGAATCCAAATATTTTGATTACTGCACTACTGAATCTCCAGGCCTTGTTTTCCAAGCACAAGAAAATAGACCTGTAATTGGAACTGGAAAATTTGTTCTATGAAAAGCGGGTGTGCAATATCCAGAACAGGCAGCCATAGTACGAATGAGAGATCACGGATTTTTAGCATATGCTACTCGAAAATTTGGAGTTTCGATAATTTTTCCGAAGGCTTCAAGCCGTTCCTTGCCAAATTTGCAAGTGCAAGAGAGCTATCCCCTGGTATGTTTTGGTCTGAAACTTTTAACTTCAGTAGTTGACAGTAGTGGTCCAGCCATCTAGCACTTTATGGGCCGAATCGTGTCGTAAGATGTATCTCTACTACATATACTCGCGGTAAACTCAAAATTACATACCTTTTTCACATCTCAAAAGCATCCTCTAATGCATGAACTTTAAGTAAAAGGTGAAAAGAGATAGATAAAACAAACTTCAAGGAGTAAAGAGTCTTGATATTCATGCCATTGTGGCGCATTATTTATTGCTTGGGCCAACTCAAAGGCGAACCTGCAGTTCGCGTTTTTATGCCCACTGCGAAATGTAGTATTCGCTTTCCTCTCCTCACATTTTCACACTAGTGTTGGACGCTAGCGTATATCCCAAAGCAGAATAGATCATCATCGCAAAGTCATTCCAATTACAATTCATGCACGAACGTAGGCATATTTTCCGGATAGGCTCGGGAACGGGCTTTGAAACCGTTGCGCCTTTGGGCAGACATGATTAAAAATTCAAGCTGACTCATCATATGTAAAATGATTTATAACTCTACTTAATTGCTTCGTGACACATGAAATTGTTTCCTTTCCACACATTTGTGTGCCTGGTATTATTTAATGAATCATGTGCCCTTCAGGATCATTTAGTCTCAAAGATGAGGTAACGGAACGAATTCCAAACCCAGCACATCACCATCTTTTCCCTGCCTCAAGTCCTCTCTGTGTTGCTGCATACAATCTAGCAGCATCCAATCTTCCTCCAGAAATCCTGAATCACTCTTTGCGTGTGTTCCTATACGCAAAACATTTCTACGAAAGCCATGAGACCTTTGCTGGCCTACCGTACCCGGCTCCCGTCGCAAGTCCGGTAGTCAATATTTCCCAAGTTTTCGTTGCATCCATTCTACATGATCTCGGAGTAAGGTATATCACATGGATCCTTCAATGTGTTGAGAAATCTCGTCGTGGCTGATCAAGGATTTCGTATAGCGAGACCATTAATGGCCCACAGCGATTTGAAGTCTGTGGAGCGGATGCAGCTGTGTCTCTGATGGAGAACTTCCCGGATGAAAGTACACATGCGGAACGTCACGATGTATGGACATCAATATCAGCCCACACCTCACCCGGAATCGCCGAAAGATATTCAACTATGAGCCGTTTAGTTCGTTTCGCTGTACTCACTGATTTTGGAAGAGGCGACTTGGTTGCGAAGGAGAGAAAAATGGAAGTCGAGAAAGATCTTCCGAGAGGAGAGGTTGAGAAGATTCTGGGTGATGCTGTTGTTGTTCAAGCTTTGAATAAGGATGGGGAAAGTGCTCAAGGGCTGAAAGCGCCAAAGGTAAGTTGGCCATGGTCTCTGGTGAGGAGTCATCAGGAGAGTATGGAGGCCGGTGTGACGCCTCCTGGTGGGGTAAATCGAGCATTCTGAGTTAAATGTTCGACGATATATCGTAACGTTGCCGTTTAGCGACTAAGAACAAATATCTAACTGGTTCAATTATGCAATATGGGTTTAGGAGCTACAGGCAGAATCATGCATGATAAGATTGCTTGGAAGAGTCTCGAATTAGTAGGATTAAACCAATCCCACGTATCCGATGATTCTATCTCTCTAACTTTACTCAGTGCAGTTTATAGATTGAAATGTCAGTCTTTTTGTCCACATTAAGTCCCGTGATATACACGTGACCTTTTTATGAAAAATAATTCTTTTAGGCCATGAACTCCAGGTCATAGCATTTACATGGTGAGGGTGCTCTTACTATATATTTTTACGCCGTCTCGCGCAATACCTAGGAGTACAAGGGGAATTATTATCGATTCTCAATCATTTTGAATATTGAACAATGCATGCTGACTCATTGTCTATTTTAGCGCTAGCCAATTTTCAATATCGTTGACCTCTCAATCTCGTGCTCTGTGTCGGGGAACAGGTTCTTTTCCTTTAAAGATCCCCAGAGGGCCCTGTGAACCGCAGCATCGATATTACCAATGCCTACAAGAATGTCTCTATCAACCACCAACGATCCTGTCGCACAATGGCAAACACAGCTAGCCGCCATGCGCGCCGCTTTAGCGGATCTTAAATTGCCTCCGTCTGCCATAGAACAACCTGCATATGGATCAGATATAGATTACGATGATAATGAGTTTAACTCCGGTGGTAGTGGCGACGATGTATGGGATTTTATCAATGACACCGAAGAAGACCAGTTCAGCAGTGATCTAAACGAAGACCAAATACCAGACCCGAACGTTGGCAGCTATGGGCCAGAATGGTTGGAAAACAAATGCCTTATCTTTGCTTCTAGAAAGCAAGGTCTTTCTGGAGAAGATCTTCAGGGGCAAATCATGGCCCTTTTGGCCTCAGACAGCGCTGAAGAAGAACTTCAATCAACATTGACTGACATTATTGGTTTTGATGACCTTGATTTTGTTATTGAACTCATTTCGCATCGGAAAGAGATTACTACCCCTTCAACTTTCACGGAAAAGAAAGACCATGGTATCTTCGGTAAATTACAAACAAAACGAGAACGAGAAGAGGCTCTGAGACAGAGAGATTACGAGCATAAGCATGCTACACTAGGACCCAGCTTGAATCGAGATGGGCCACAGTACCCTCACGTGTATAAAGCACATTCTGCAGGCAATATTCTTGATGCAAGGGGGAAAAAGTACGGTTTACCAGCTGGCGCGATTAGAAGTGAGCACGAGGTAAGCCCTCCAATGTGAAATAGCAGAAAGCATTAGATGAGAGCCCCCAATACCGTTCGAACTTTGTGCTGACCAAGTTTTCAGAAATATGAAGAATATTCGATTCCCGCCGCCCAGGTTGGAACCATTGGAGTTGGTAGGAAATTAGTCGAGATTTCCGAAATGGACGGTCTTTGCAGAAGAACCTTCAAAGGATACAAGTCTTTGAATCGGATGCAGAGTTTGGTGTACCCAGTTGGTTACAAGACCAGTGAGAATATGCTCATCTGCGCCCCAACAGGTGCTGTAGGTAATCATTCCCCATCAGCCTACTCGCGCCATTAATATTTATAGGGTAAAACTGATGCTGCGATGCTCACAATTCTTCACGCTATCGGCCAAAATATTACTCCCAATCCTGCTGAACAACCAGAAGCCAATGATTTTGTGGTCAATACCGAAGATTTCAAAATTGTCTACATCGCCCCAATGAAGGCGCTTGCTGCAGAAATTACGCAAAAACTGGGCAGCCGCCTGGCTTGGTTAGATATACAGTGCCGAGAACTTACAGGGGACATGCATCTTACCAAGAAGGAAATCGTCGCAACTCAGATTATTGTTACAACCCCTGAGAAATGGGATGTTGTGACAAGAAAGGGAACTGGCGATACAGAACTGGTCCAAAAGGTCCGTCTGTTGATTATTGACGAAGTCCACATGCTTCACGACGATCGTGGCGCTGTACTTGAATCTCTGGTTGCAAGAACCGAACGACAAGTTGAGAGCACTCAATCTCTCATTCGAATTGTTGGGCTCTCTGCAACCCTTCCTAATTATGTTGATGTTGCCGACTTTCTAAAAGTTAATCGTCATGCAGGTCTATTTTATTTTGATGCAAGCTTTAGACCCGTTCCCCTGGAGCAGCATTTCATCGGCGTCAGAGGAAGGCCGGGTACTAGGACATCACGCGACAACCTTGATAATACGGCTTTTGAAAAAGTGAGAGAAATGCTCGAGCATGACCATCAGGTCATGGTGTTTGTTCATTCAAGAAAGGACACCCAGAATACAGCCAAAATGTTGTATGAAAAAGCTGTTGATCAGGTCTGTGTGGATCTATTCGATCCTTCTTACCATCCACAATATGAGGCTGCAGTAAAGTCTATGCAAAGTTGCAAAGCCAAAGAATTACGGGACCTACTACCCAAGGGCATTGGTATTCACCATGCTGGTATGTCTCGATCAGACAGAAACCTCATGGAGAAACTATTTGGTAGTGGCGTTTTGAAAGTTCTCTGCTGTACAGCAACACTAGCATGGGGTGTCAATTTACCTGCTGCAGCAGTAATTATTAAAGGCACTCAGGTATACAGTGCACAAGATGGTAAGTTCATTGACCTCGGAATTCTTGACGTGCTCCAAATCTTCGGTCGTGCTGGCCGTCCTCAATTTGAGGATACAGGCATTGGCATGATTTGCACTACACAAGACA